GTTGACGTTGTACCTTCTTAAAGATGCATTGTTACACCGCCTTTGGGAGACATCATTGCATTATTGTGTAAGATGTCTCATTACTATGCAATATACGTCTGAATTTTGCAGCCCACGTCATTATTCTGCAAGGGTTTTTATTACAACGAGTCAGAGGTGACCAACGATGGGTGGTTGGTGGTGGTTGATGGTGGTCGACATTTGTAAAAGTGGGAGTTTTCATTGGATTTATAATGCAGAAACGACCCCGGACTTAAACTCCTCCAAGTTTTAGTCTTCTTCTAGCTCAATGTCTGCCCCTATCAAGAGGATGACATGCTCTATTTATACACTCTAAGAGAGACCTTTTTGCAAATTAAAAAGATATTCAACCCACTCCATCGCACGACTCGGAGAGATTCCCTCAATCAAATGACATTCATTGAATATTTAAATGCTTTGATGATATCAAAATTATATAGTCTTGGCCTCATTTGATTTGTCTTGCTGAGGAGCTTGACATGCGTCAATTTTTTTAATGTCCTTCCGAAGCGGGCAACGGGATTTCAATTCCGATGACCGACAGCTTCTTACGGGCAAACCCCACACCAAAAATAGTGCCGACACTGACCCAATTTGCGATTCTTGTTAAAAATCAAATCTTAGGGCTTCTTGGAGGAAGTTCTGCACCGGAGAAAGTTTGGAGGCTAAAAGAAGAGAGTTTAAGAGAGATTTTGAGGGATCTCTTGAGGGTTGTCTTCTTCATTCGGTAGAGACCTTTGAGGGAGAGTTTTTATTTGCTTTGTGGATTGTGAAAGGGTCTGTACGAGAGTGAAATGTGATTTACGTCACTATATGTCACTCGTAATGGATATTCATGTAGTGTTTATTTTTTCTGTTATTGTTTTCTCCATATGTACGACTAAGCTTTTCTTCATGTCTCTCTGATGTAAGGAGTAGTGGATTTATCGTGGATTTTTCATAATGTATTTTTGTTAATAATTTTCTTACGCTTTTATGACCTATGTTGTTGGTTAACCTCCAAAAATAATTTACTCGTGCTCTGACCAACTAGGAAGTTAAAATGTTTCATGAAATTATAACCTCTAACCGTTGCGTAGTTGACACGAAGGGTTAACCACAAAATTTTTAGGGGATTGATATATTTCAGTGAAATTCTACAATTATCCCGGGGGGATCGAAAAACATGTGGAATGTCATGGAGATTAAGGAGGCCTTAACTTCAAGGATTATAAGTTTCTTGTGACCTAAACATAGACATAATGAGTATTATGTTCTCCATCAACAACAATCACGTAGAAAAATATTTAAAAATCACGATCGCCACGATATCCAAATAATAAAGTCACGAGCCTTTTCTTTCTTGAAGGAACTCACGAACTACCCTCTTATTTTCTAATTTTCTTTTAATTGTTAAATACTCTGTCTTGTTATGACTTTAGGACTTAAAAAACTCATTTGGATAAACAGTAAAATAGGTTAACTAAATTAGTAAACTTGAGATTTGTCTTCAGAAACAAATATTACAAGATTTCTATAGAATCGATACACAATACTCTTGAATTGCATTACTACTTGACACGTACACTTGCGTTGTACGATAGACTTATGTCCCAGTAAGTTATGACATGTCAAGATTTTGACGTCATTGCTGGAGGAAAACATTAATAATTGCTTTTGCTATTACGAGAACTTTAATTGAAAAATAAAGGATCTAAGTTTAACATTTTTATTTATTTATTTCTACTTTGTGTTTACTATTTTTCTATATTGCATTTGTATTTTTTTTGTATTCCTTGTAGGTGCTGAAATGTTTTAAAAACAAAAAAAAAATTTTAAAAGCTGAAATGCCAAAAATAATTAGTTGATAATTTATTTTCTTATTTTCTTATTTTCTTTAGCATATTGTGTATTGCACTTGCATGTTAGCGTGTTGACTAACCTGTGTGGGTCAGCGTGCTCGTTTGTTGTATAATTTTAATCTGTCGTTTTTATGTTCCGGGGAGCTGAGGCCGACCTCGCTTCTTTTGACCCTGATATTGATCACACATTTAGGCTTCTTAGGAAATCACACTTAACTTCTGAAACACTTGTTAAGATGGCAGACCCTATTTCTCTAACTTGAAACCACTTAGGGATTACGACAACCCTACTATTGAAGAGATTGACATGAGCATCAAACTACCCCACTTCTGTGGCTAACACTTTTGAACTACGTCCCGCTGCCATCCAAATGATTCAAAACAACATGATGGGGGACTTGCCATTGAAAATCCCAATCTTCATTTAGCCAAATTTTCTTGAACTATGGGCCACCTTTCGGTACAACAGTGTCCCCAACGATACTATTAGACTGAGGTTTTTTCTCTTTTCCTGTGAGATAAAGCTAATGCATGACCTAACTCACTCGCTCCAGGATCAATCATAACCTCAAATGACTTAAAACAAAAATTCATTGCCAGATATTTTTCTTCGTCCAAAACCACAAAACGTATAAATGATGTCACCTCACTCAAATTGATGGAGAATCCATTTATGAGGCCTAAGAGAGATTCAATGAAATACTTTGGAGGTGCCCACAATATGCCCTACTTAATTGACTGCTAATTTAAACCTTTTACAATTAACTCATAGGTTTTTTTAGATCCATAATGGATGCTGCTACAAGAGAATCATTAATGTCTAAACCATTTGATGACCCCTATCAATTGACAGAAGAAATAACATTTATATATAATGTCAACATTTTGAGGGGTTTTACATAAAAAAAATATATTGTAAATGCAATAATAAGTAAGGGAGTATTTTTCTCTTATGAATCTTTCCAACAAATAACTCCATGTAGCTATGGCTTCAAGGGGTCAAACTCATCTTCGGCTTAAGAAGGTTATATATTGCCATGCACTCTTATGAAGAGACTAAATGACTATAACAAACTAATTTAGTAATTCATCATCTGTGACAAATAGACAATGAAGGAGCAATATATCATCCAAACTTGCTCAATGAAATTTACAATCAAATTTAAAAAGAAAAGATAACTACATACATCCAAATGAAACCAAATAAAGCCCTAATTAGCATGAAAGGCCTCTACAAACAGGAAATAATCCTATCATCTCTATTCCAAATTTCACTAAAAAACAAACTTAAAAAATTAGGGTTGCACGTAAAATTTTGGATGAAATAAAATTATTTGATAAAATTTCGGCTCTCTGTTGGGTCATTAGTCGCCTTGTATGAATGAGAGAGTCCAGAGAAGGAAGAAGCAAAGAAAAGAGATCGGTCTTCTAGGTGAGACGCCAACGAGAGGACGTCGAACCAACGACACTGGTAAGAACACCAAGTGAAGGGAGGTTCTTATTTGGGATTGGGGAGCGAGAGAGGAAATTACTGAAGGTCTAATCGTCGAACCGGCTAACCGTCCACTCTCCCTTATTTACACAAATGAAACTACCTAACTAATAACGGGTAAACCGGTTGTACGGACAGATTCAATTGAATTTTCTAAATCCTCATAAATAACACGACGAAAGTCGCGCTTAAAATGTTAGTCTTAACTATTAGTTTGGTCCGAACAATATTTAATTCAAATGGGAAGATCTGCAGCGTTGAAGGCGTCGCCCTGCCGCTTCCTACTTAATAAAATGACCTTTCTATCCTCGTAATTTTACACAATTACTATCGTGCCATCCTCTGATTTCACGGTACAAACGGCGAAGGAGAACGTGCTTTGGAGTGGCGATGCTGTCTCGGGACTATGGAAACAGCGAAGTGACTCCAGGACGCTGCAAGTTACTGAAATGGCGTACAAATTCTCTGCGAGCTGTTAAGCTCTGAGTTTCTATCCCTAACTTTGACTTCCGTATCAAGTTTCCTGAGGCTTTCTTCAGGTTTCGCTCACGTGTTCTCTCTATTTGTCGAACACTGTCGAGTAAGGACTAAAGAGTTGCTACATTGTTGGATTACATTTCAATCCATTGTCGGATAGAGGAATCGGTGTTTGTTGTGGAAAGTTTGGCTCGTGGAACGGTCATTTTTGGCTGTTTTGTGATTTTTTGGGGTGCTTTATTAGGGATGGCTGAGAATCCGAAGCTTCCTTTCATTGTCGTGGTGGATGAGAGCGAGCAGAAGGGGGATGGAAAAGAAGGAAGCTTCAAATATACAAGACCTGTGTTGCAGAGTACGCTGCAACTCATGGGATGCAAAGCTCGGCATTTTCCTTCAAGGTTGATATTTATTTTTGTTTTTCTATTTTGTAGTTGTCTTTTATAGTTGCTTTTGAGTGATTGACTTTGCTTTTTCTGGATTTTCTGTTTTCTTTTTGGGGGTTGCAATATGTTTTTTTAATCATCTGTTTCGGTTGACTTGAGTGTAGAATTTTGTGTAGATTGCCTTGTTTTTAATTCTTTCTTATTTTAGATTTTCTGAATTAGGCACTTCAGTTTGTGTAGTAACACTATAGTATTTTAAATGATTTTCATTTCTGTTCATGATGATCTGTATTTTCTCGAGTTGTGGCAATATGCTGTTTTCTTTTTACAATGTTCTAGCTTGTATGAATTTGGAATTTAATGTCAATTTCTAACTCATTTTTTCCGTTCTTTTTATATGTTTTTGAGATCCGCTTTAGTTTGCGAAGCTCGATAGAGTTGAGTTTGAGGTTTCAAATTTAAATCGAAGAAACATCGAGGCATGGCATTGTGCTTACTCTGCAACAGATACAGTCACATGCGCTTGATTTTTCTCTCTCTCTGATCTTCTAATTGGTGTTAGATTTGCAATTATATAACAATTGTATGGTGTGTAAGAAAGGTTTATCTGGAAACTTATCTCAAGTTTCTATGAACATTTTACATTGTCCACTAAAAATCTTCATTAACATTGCTTATACATTATATTCACAATCTAAACCTCCACATCTGCCTTCTTCCTTCCTGTGTACAATATTATGATTTTAGTTATTTGAACTAACTTGGAATTCATATATTGTCAGATTAGCAGGAGGGTCTTTGATGTGATGCGAAATAATCGCTCCATTGATGGCTTCACTATTTCGGGAGCTAATCCATCGATATCAAATATACCCGAACTTAGATCTGATAAAGAAAGCAGTTTTGAGGTGCCGGGAAAGAACTCCATTGATGAGAATGTGGATAAAATAAGTTCAAGGCAATTTGAGCTGTACAAAAGACACGCAACTGTTGTTGTCACAAGACAAACTTTCTTGAATGTTGTTTGTGATGTACTTTCTGTGTACAAGTACGTCGGTCCTAATCAAATGGCTGATTTACTTCTGGCATGCAGGTAGAAACATTATCTGAATAACATACTTTATTCACAAGAGATATTTTACCTTTTGTACATACAACCTTGCTTGTTTTTGTCGGTTAACTGTATGAAATGATGTGCATTTTCTTAGATATTTTTTATTGATGATGGTATTTAATTGATATCGCTAAAGTATTAAATTTATCCTTTTAAAGTTTGTTATTCCGGTTTTTATTAAGCTTTTTGGGGCACTCTTCACAGTATAACGGACATTTCTTAACTGCACATTGAATGTGAAAATAATAAGGTCATTATCCTTTTTCAGTTTTCGTGATAAAGTTTGCATCACATAAATGGTCTTTTATTTAGTATGTCAAAAAAATGTAATCTGTGCAGTCGTGGGTATCAAAACTTGTACTTTCTAACTTGAGGAAAATTTAGAAGTTATGCTTTACTTTAGGTGATGAGATTGTATAGGTGGGGTAAACAAAATTTTTTCTCAATTGAATAGCTTTCTCATTGAGGCAATATGGCAGTGCGAGGAGTTTATGGGTAAATTTGAAGATTCTATGCATTTATAGGGAATTTTTTACTGTGTTTTTGGATGCTTGTTTTCTATTTACAATTGTAGGATCAATTATCATTGTTTCACATGACTACTTATTTTGTTTGTTGCTTCAAGGCTCCAACTATATGCAATTATTTGCCAATCTTATTTTAGAAAAAAACTATTAAGTGGTATGAAATAATATATTACCTTATTTTTACTTCTTATTCGTGTACATGGAAAAATCTAGTGCTGGTGCATACAATATAAGATTCCTGCGCCTTTTTTTTACATTATTTTGAACAATATTATTGTTTTTCTTTTAAAGTGTGTGATATCTATTGACCATTCTAACTGAATTTTTTAATTATTTTAGAATTCGGGAGAGAAAGCAATCAGTGACAATTTTTTTGTGTGGCACCAGTGGGTGTGGGAAGTCTACACTGTCGGCACTGCTGGTAATATGTTCTAATCTATCAAGAAAAGAGTTATTTATGCATTAAGTTTTCTGGAGATTGTTTTCTTTCATTATATAATAGCATCTCATCCTGGAGGGCATTTTGGTTGTATAATTTTCTTTTTTTTTTCTGTGTTTTATTCCTTTTACCTCAAATTGTTGTAATGTTTATACGTCAAATTGGTGTAATGTGTGATTAAGCTTTGAACACTGATCCTTGCTAGTAATGTTTATACCTTTTACCTATAACTTTTGTTGCTATTCTTTTCCAATCTATCATCCTTTTGTATTTGCTTAATTCATATTCATCTGGACGTTATGTGTGTTTAACAAAATATAGATGTTATCATAACTATTACATGGATTCGGATGAGCCTACTATAGTGAATTCAAAAGAAGAAATAAGTGCAAACTATCATGAATTATGGATATTTCTTAGTTTTCGTAATATTTGTCGTTGATACGATTTTTATCCATATCCATGTAGACACAATTTAGATAATTAAAACAGGAACAATGCATGCATTTTGTGTAAAGTCACTTTTTTGAGAGAGAGAATTCAATAACATGAAAGGGGAATATGGATTTTTCGAGCAATTTGGTTGAGATGCCGACACCGGCTATAAGGTAAGCCGGGAAGATTTATTCCTTGCTTGAGATGCGTAGGGGCTAATCATTATAACTTGTAGGGCAACTTCTCGATAAATGATTAAAAGAAAAGAGAGAGAGAAGTCATATCCATGTATTCAAAAGAAGAAATAAGTGCAAACTATCATGAATTATGGATATTTCTTAGTTTTCGTAATATTTGTCGTTGATACGATTTTTATCCATATCCATGTAGACACAATTTAGATAATTAAAACAGGAACAATGCATGCATTTTGTGTAAAGTCACTTTTTTGAGAGAGGGAATTCAATAACATAAAAGGGGAATCTGGATTTTTCAAGCAATTTGGTTGAGATGCCGGCACTAGCTATAAGGTAAGCCGGGGAGATTTATTCCTTGCTTGAGATGCGTAGGGGCTAATCATTATAACTTGTAGGGCAACTTCTCGATAAATGATTAAAAGAAAAGAGAGAGAGAAGTCATATCCATGTATTCAAAAGAAGAAATAAGTGCAAACTATCATGAATTATGGATATTTCTTAGTTTTCGTAATATTTGTCGCTGATACGATTTTTATCCATACCCATGTAGACACAATTTAGATAATTAAAACAGGAACAATGCATGCATTTTGTGTAAAGTCACTTTTTTGAGAGAGGGAATTCAATAACATAAAAGGGGAATCTGGATTTTTCAAGCAATTTGGTTGAGATGCCGGCACTAGCTATAAGGTAAGCCGGGGAGATTTATTCCTTGCTTGAGATGCGTAGGGGCTAATCATTATAACTTGTAGGGCAACTTCTCGATAAATGATTAAAAGAAAAGAGAGAGAGAGAAGTCACACTTAGGGCTGTCAAAACGGCTCGCTGTTCACGAACAGCTCGTGTTCGGCTCGTTAAGAAGCTTGTGTTCTACTCGTTTTGGCTCAAAATACTACAAATTCATTATATATATATATATATATATATAAAAAATTAATTGACTGCAAGGCTACAATGATTTATAATCAATTAAAAGTATTAATTAAGAAAATAGAATAAAAATTATTAAATTAGATTCAAATGATGTTTTAAATCTTTCTCCAATCCTTAACATCTTATGGTTACATGATTAGGGTTGTCAAAACGACTCTTTGTTCGTGACCGGCTCGTGTTCGGCTCGCTAAGCAAACGAGTTGAACATGAACACACTTTTTTAGCTCGAAATATAAACGAACGTACACGAGCAGAGCCTGGGCTCACTCGTGTTTGACTCGTTTACATCCCTAGTCACACTATGGTCACACTATGGAGAAGTGGAGGAGAATTGCCACTGGAGGAAGAAATAAAGAAAAGTTCAAATCAACGATCAAGGCAAGCTTGACACGCTACGATCCTTTGACCTGAATTTCTTCAAACTTCTCGGGCAACTAAGCACTAAAAGTGAAGTGAAGCATTTAATTGTTGAAAGCATCACTCACAATCATCGTTCCAGATGAATTATTTGCTTTCGAAGAGTCTTAAAAAGTGGTGCATAGTTTTCCCCTGATAAATTGATAAAATGACTTAAGTTATCGGGCTTCTTGACCATCTTGTAAATTTATTAAACTAATTGTTGATTGCTTTAATTTTGTTGATATCTGCTTTAAAACGTTAAGCTTGCCTTAAAAATTTGTCCATTCTATTTCCAAGCATGCACTTCACGAGATTGAACCTCATTGTATCTTTTGAGAGGAGAGAATATTTTGGCGAGGATGACTGCGTAATTGTTACTGCTCTCGTTTTACCCTAAAATATCATCGTTTAAGTGGTCATCATCTGTATTACTCTTCATCGAAATATTATTGATGTATGTTTTTCTTTCATGTTGAGCTTGGATGATCTTATTCATCAACTTTTAATGCATTGTTTTGAGATTTTTCATACCAAAAGGTATAACATTATGTCAGAAGAATTATTGTTCATAATTAAGTTAGTTTTCTCATAATTCTTTCGATGCATTTTTTTTGCGTTATCCCGAGAAAACATAGTGAAAGTTTTTAGTCACAGGAATACAATGATAGAGTTCCGTGAAGCATTTATTTTTGATATTTGGTAGGAATTATTAGGGTACATCAGCGATTTTTTTGAAATTTAAGCACATCTTTTAGCCATCATTTGATTTCTTAACCATAACATATTGGAAATCAACTCTGGATGATGCTCTTCTTGGACAAATTCAAATATAACCAACTTTTTACTTCTTAGATAATAACTTTGATCTTTTGGAAGAACTTTTTATTTAATTACTTGATGGTAAGATTGTTAACATTTATATTTTAGTGATGGCATGTAATACTGAATTCCACCCCCAACACTTGGTCGATTTCCATGCAAAAAAGACTTGATTGCATTGTAGAAGGATGAGGAGTTGGGAATGAAAGTACTTTTTAAGAGATTGATACCAGTGTTGAGCCAATTTGCAGTGGAACGTGGATATCGTTGTTGAAACTAAAATGGATTACAATAAAGTTCTCAACAAGGTTCTCCGAACGAGAATTAAACAACGCACAAAACACAAGGGACCCTCTAGGGCGAGAGTAATAGTGGTGGACACCAATTGGACAACAGGTGGGATGGCGGTTGGGTGATGTGGTAGCAGGAGGGCAAGCTAGAGTGGTCGGTGGTAGTAACGAGCTATGGTGGAGGGGGTGCAACAATAATTGAAGAGATTGGAGAGGGTTACGATGGTAGTGGGATATGGTGGGTGGACTGAGGCAACAGTTGGAGGGATTGGAGTGGGTTACATCAGTATTTGGATGGATTGGAAAGAGTCACGACATCAGTTGGAAGTATAGAAAGGTTTGGTAGCGACGGCAATGGGAGGGGGATTTAGAGTTGGTGGCTTGAAGAACAACGTCAGGGAGGGGCACAAGTAGGATGACGAGTAGGGGATGGATTGAGCGAAAGATTATATGGAGATAATCATCACCTTGGAGTAGGATATAACCAGAGCACTGCCTGTCCCTGGATACAACCCATGCAAGACAGAATACACCGACGACAGAAAATCCGGACAAAAATTCCCCCAATCCTAAGAAGCCCCATGTCAATCTCTCAGGGTTGGGGGAGCTTAGACCTTTTTTGTTGAAGCTTATGGATCCTCAAAACATGGATTTAAATCTGCCACATTGTAGGTAGCTAAAATATTGTAGTCTCCTAGTAGGTCGATTTTTAGGCGTTGTCGTTCAACTTCTTGAGAATCCTGAAGGGTCCATCAACTCTAGGCTTGAGTTTTTCGAAAGCTCCCACTGTAAGCTTTTCTTTTCCCTTCGCTGAAACCTTTCTTTCTTCAACCAGACTATACTAGATCTCTTTCTTGAAAAATCACTTTTTCTTCTGGTCTTGTTGACATGTGTTTGGTACTTGTGATTCTACTTGGAGATCTCCTTTCCCTTTTCTTCACGTAGCTTTTGTACCTCTTGTACTTGTTTTGCATCATCTTCACTAACATTTGTTATCGGCATGAGTGGTACTAAGTCAAGTGGAGTGAGTGGGTTATGCCCGTTGTCTGACTCACTGATATGTTGTAAGAAAATTCAGCTTGAGCTAGAATCAAATTGCACTGCTTAATCTTTTTTCCCACCAAGCTCCTCAGAAGGTTTCTGAAACTCCTATTCATTGCATCTGTCGAACTGTATGTTTGCTGTTGAGATGCTGAGCTGAATTGAAGCTTGTGTTGAGCTTCTTCTATTGGGTCCTCCAAAAGTGACTCATAAACTTGACATCTCGGTTGAAAGTGATAGTCTTGGGTATTCCATGTAGTCTAACGACCTTGTGAATTACAAATCAGCGACACGCGATGCATCCAGATTTCAGTAGCAGGGCACGAAGTGCACTGTCTTCAAAATTCTAACCACCACAACCATCATAGAATTCTTGTTCCGTTGTGTTTGTAGAAGAGTCACCACAAAATCTATACTGACATCCACCCAAGGGGCCTTCGATATGGGAAAGAGAGTGTATAATCTTGTATTTTGTCCCCTGGTCTTGGCCATATGACAAATTTAGTTTTTCCTGACATGTCACTCCACATATCTCATATGTCTTGGCCAATAAAAGTATTCTTTCACGAGTGTCGGTCTTATCCCTGCCAAAATGTCCTTCAAGTCTTTCACTGTGACTTCTAATTAATAGACTCCATTAGTGAACATCTAGGATTGTTCAACTTATTCTGGTGGAATAGGTAATCTTTAGCTCTGTGGTATTGCTCAATAGACTTCTCTTGTCATTGTTTCTAGAACCCTATGAAGTCATCGTTTGTCTCGTATTACTCCTTCAGTACGTTAAAACCAACAACTTGAGTCTGCATCAAAGTGATCAACAAGTGACGACGACTCAGTGCATTTGCTACTCTGTTATGATTCCTTGCCT